CCCTCAGCCCCGCCCGCCCGGAGCCGCCCCCCGCCCAAGAAAGGGAGAAAGGGCCTTTTGCGCTTCAAATATATAATTTTTATTTGGTACCAAAGTTTCCAGAGGCCAAACCCGGCCGTCTCGGGCGCCCCCCGGCCCCGAGCAGGCGGGACGCAGCCGGGGGAGGCCCGGGGCTAACACGGGAGGGCTAGAACGAGAAGAAACTTGGCTACTAACCTCGAGAACCGGGACGCGCCTCCCTCGGCACAGGGCGGCCGGGGGCGGCGGCACAGACCCAACAGAACAGACGGGCATTGCACGGGCGGGGTGAACCGCGGGGGGGGCAGAGTGAAGAGGGGAAAAAAAAATAAAAATAAAGACCAAACAGAGTCCGCGAGAGTCCTTGCCGCGCAGCCTAGTCCACCTCCTCGATGGTGGGGCCGCCGGAGCCGGAGCCGGCGGGCGCGGGGCCGCCGGGCGGGCCGGCGCCCTGGTACAGCTTGGTGATAATGGGGTTGCAGAGCTTCTCCAGCTCCTTCTGCTTGTGCTCGTACTCTTCCTTCTCGGCCATCTGGTTGCGGTCCAGCCAGGCGATCAGCTCCTGGCACTTGTCGAGCACGCGCTGCTTGTCCTGCTCGCCGATCTTGCCCGCCAGCTTCTCGTCCTCCACCGTCTGCTTCATGTTGTAGGCGTAGGACTCGAGCGAGTTCTTGGCCGCCACCCGCTCGCGGTTGGCGTCGTCCTCCGCCTTGTACTTCTCGGCCTCCTGCACCATGCGGTCGATGTCGTCCTTGCTGAGCCGGCCCTTGTCGTTGGTGATGGTGATCTTGTTCTCCTTGCCCGTGCTCTTGTCGGCCGCGCTCACGTTGAGGATGCCGTTGGCGTCGATGTCGAAGGTGACCTCGATCTGCGGCACGCCGCGCGGCGCGGGCGGGATGCCGGTCAGGTCGAACTTGCCCAGCAGGTTGTTGTCCTTGGTCATGGCGCGCTCGCCCTCGTACACCTGCACCAGCACGCTGCTCTGGTTGTCCGAGTAGGTGGTGAAGGTCTGCGTCTGCTTGGTGGGGATGGTGGTGTTGCGCTTGATGAGCGCCGTCATGACGCCGCCCGCCGTCTCGATGCCGAGGGACAGCGGCGTCACGTCCAGCAGCAGCAGGTCCTGCACGTTCTCCGACTTGTCGCCCATGAGGATGGCGGCTTGCACCGCCGCGCCGTACGCCACCGCCTCATCGGGGTTGATGCTCTTGTTCAGCTCCTTGCCGTTGAAGAAGTCCTGCAGCAGCTTCTGGATCTTGGGGATGCGCGTCGAGCCGCCCACCAGCACGATCTCCTGCACCTGCCCCTTGTCCAGCTTGGCGTCGCGCAGCGCCTTCTCCACCGGCTCCAGCGTGCCGCGGAACAGGTCGGCGTTCAGCTCCTCGAAGCGCGCCCGCGTGATGGACGTGTAGAAGTCGATGCCCTCGAACAGCGAGTCGATCTCGATGCTGGCCTGCGTGGACGAGCTCAGCGTGCGCTTGGCCCGCTCGCACGCCGTGCGCAGCCGCCGCACCGCCCGCTTGTTGCCGCCGATGTCGCGCTTGTGCTTGCGCTTGAACTCCTCCACGAAGTGCGTCACCATGCGGTTGTCGAAGTCCTCGCCGCCCAGGTGCGTGTCGCCCGCCGTCGACTTCACCTCGAAGATGCCGTCCTCTATGGTGAGGATGGACACGTCGAAGGTGCCGCCGCCCAGGTCGAAGATCAGCACGTTCTTCTCGCCGGCGCGCGCGCCCTTCTTGTCCAGCCCGTAGGCGATGGCGGCCGCCGTGGGCTCGTTGATGATGCGCATCACGTTGAGGCCCGTGATGGTGCCTGCATCCTTGGTAGCCTGGCGCTGCGAGTCGTTGAAGTAGGCGGGCACCGTGATGACGGCGTTCTGCACCTTGCGACCCAGGTAGGCCTCAGCGATCTCCTTCATCTTGGTCAGCACCATGGAGCTGATCTCCTCGGGGAAGAAGGTCTTGGATTCGCCTTTGTACTCCACCTGCACCTTGGGCTTGCCACCCTCGCTCACTACGCGGAAGGGCCAGTGCTTCATGTCTGCCTGCACCGTGGGGTCGTCGTACTTGCGGCCGATGAGGCGCTTGGCGTCGAAGATGGTGTTAGTGGGGTTCATGGCCACCTGGTTCTTGGCCGCGTCGCCGATGAGGCGCTCCGTGTCTGTGAAGGCCACGTAGCTGGGCGTGGTACGGTTGCCCTGGTCGTTGGCGATGATCTCCACCTTCCCATGCTGGAAGACACCCACGCAGGAGTACGTGGTGCCCAAGTCGATGCCGATCGCAGGCCCTTTGCCCGACATGATTGCAGCTCTCCTCTGCTCCGCGCTGCGCCGCGAACTGCCGTTAACGCCCTGCTCTGGCGCTTTTATGGCCCGCCGTGCCTTCTTCTGGAACCTGCCAGAAGCCCGGCGGCCAATCGGCTCGCTCGTTCGCCACCCCTCGTCCAATCCGCTCTCGCGCCTGTGGACCAATCCCCTCGCTCGTCCCCGCCCCCCTCTACTCCACCAATCTCCTCCGCGTCCTCCTTCCTGTTCTTTCTCGATCAGTCCAGCGGACGCTTGTCCAGGACGCTTGGACCAATCGCTTCCCTCGCGCCTCTTTTTGTCCCGCCCTCCCCCGGTCAAGAGCTCCCGCCCCTCTACTCTGCCAGAAAGTTCCAGCGGACGCCGGACTAAAAGCAAGGGATTGATGTCACCACTGTCCAATAGAGATCGAGCTGGCAGGGAGGGGGTGGGACTTAGAGTCTCCCTTGGCTAGAGAGGGGGGCATGCAAATGAGCTCGCTCACTTGTGAGGGTCGCGCCGCTGACGCCAACGACCTTTTTAAAGTCCCGCCCTCCCTTGTGATTGGAGAACGGGGGAGCCAGTCAAACGATGGGGCCGGGGGGGTGGAGAGAGGGACTGGGGGGGCGCCCCTAAGAGCGGTGCGGGAGGGGCGGGGCTGTGAGGCAGTTGGGGGAGCCAGGGGCAGGGGTTTTGGGCAGGGTGTCGGGTGCCCGTCATGGCAGTCCCGGCAGGCTCAGTGGGGGGGACTTGACACCCTGCTCAACCCACCTCTTGACAAGTGCCAGACCTGTCAGAATATTCTCCACAGTCATGAACACAAAATACTGTTTTAGTGTTTCTCCCAAGCAGTGCTTTTAAATCTAGCTATAATAAGACAGAGGGGAGCACCCCTGTGGCCCATGAGATTTAAATCTTTTTAATCCCAGGCAAGATGTCGCAGGACCCTTTCAGACTCTCCTGTCCTCTGTTAGGACGAATTATTATTCGCCTCTGGTCATCCCCTCGTAGGCAAAGAAGATCCACATGGCTTCCTTTTACCTTGCTTTATATATAGGACAGACGAGCCCAAAGAGACCAATGCCGAAAGCAAAGGCTCGATGGCTAGAATCGCTCTGCTCCTGCAATGCAGAGCTTAGTGCAAACCCGACCTTCGTAACATCAATATTGATTTTTTTAAAAAGGAGAAGAGGAAAAATCTTCCCAGACTTATTTCCTTTTATGCATCATTTAGTAATAACTTCCAGAGCAGCCTCTCTGGGAGAGGCGCGGTCTGATTTTTGGTCCATTCCTGTATCTCCAGTTTGACAGTGTGAACAAATACACCCCTGGCTATGCACCACGGCCCCACCCAGCCACATGCGTTGGAAAGGGGATTTAGGTTTCTTCAGTGAGGCAAGAGCGAAATAGGTGGAGCAGAGCCAGCGATTCAATCTTTATCTTTAGCTTGACAGAGTAAGATTGTTCCTCGTATTTTTTTGCAGCGTGTAGGACAGTCTCAACCTTGTCAGACTCAAGGCGCCCCTCCTTAAGACTCAGTTTTCACTCTTTTTTGACTATAGAAAATAATAGAATGATCTTTCTACTACAAATAACTCAAAAAGACCATAACAGATCGGAATATTTTTAGCGCTGTGGATTCTTATTTGAAATCTCTGGCCACGTCGATGAGTGCGGCTGGTTTTTTCCCCAGGGACAAAGAGCAGTGGCGTACCTTGTGCCACTGCAACTTGTCCCCAGGGAATGCCCATGCCAGATGCGCTCTGGTGCATGGCAGGTTACCCCGGGTAGGGTAGGAGAGGCTGGGGCCAGCAACCGTGCTGGCCCCAGCAGCCTTACCTGGGGTCCTGGGGGCCTCGAAGCTGCAGCCACGGTGCTCCTACAGCTGGAAGCCTGGCTGGCAGCTGGACCGTGGCTCCAGCCAGCCAGGCTCTGGTTTTGGGTGGTGCATGCTGCCACCACATACGCTGCTCTGCGCTGCTTTTTAAAGGTGCAGGTTATTTTGACCCTGGGATCTTCCAGGGTCAACTCCCCCACCCATCTCCCTTCTCCCCGTGCTGCAAGATAGCAGTGTGGGGAATACCTGCATGTGCAGCTTGTGGCACCACATACCACACATCTGTGCTCGTCTGTACACGGCCTCTAGATTTATCTTGTGAATCAAGTTAGCGCACCTAACAGTGCTAACATTTGCATGACACCCCATGACACCCTTGACAGGATCTCAAGACACCCTGGCTGAGAATCACTGGTGTAGGAGAACTGAATTAAACCTTAGTTGGGCTTTAGTCTAACAAGTTATTTGGCTCTGTATTTGGGTAATGGCATAATTTAAGAGTCTGTAAAGTACAGGAGGTCAGTGGATCTGATGGTAGCGTATAGCTTTAAACTCTGAGTCGTTGAATCATTTTTCCTGGTTAAAAAAAGAAGTTAGAGAAAAAGAGTCTAAAGGAACTTAGAACTGAAGGAGGACGACACATTGCTGTGCTATATGTTACTAATATCTTAATATCAGTTCTGAAAGGCCAAAGCAATAGGTGCAATAAGTGAATAATTAACTTTTTGGATGTCTTTTTAGCACTAAAATGTTATGAATGACTGACGATGTTGGTACGTATCCAGTTATCAGAGTTTTATGGGGAATTACCGATGTCTGAAATATCAGGGAAATCTTCTGACAGCTCGTGTTGCATTGAAGATGACCTCATTTTGCTTGGTGTTTAATGTATTTTGTTTTAAGCACCATTGGGCTTTATGGATTTCCACTTCTAATGGAGAGACATCCTTCAGTAGCTGGTAAGGCACCCAAAATCAATGGTCTCTCTTAAAGGAGAAGATACTAGCTCTGTGTAAGAAACACAAAGTAATACACTACAGATGAGTATAATGCACTTCAGGCAAACTGTCGAGCGTGACAGATAGCGTTCGCACTCCTATGCACAGAACCACAGAATGTAGCTCATAATAATTCAGTTTTGCCAGTACAAACGTTCAAAAAGCATGAGTCAAATTTCTGAAAAGTATAAGGCTGGATTGACTGGATTTCTTTACTTAACCCAATACATTTGGGGTTCTTTTATTTGCATTCTGGCTTTTGAATCCTTAGGACAAATTAGGGCAGGGGGTGGGCAAAATATAGCCTGTGGGCCAGATCCAGCTCACCAAGGGATTTTATCTGGCCTGCGGTGGGTCCCTTGGCTCTGCCCAGCCCAGATGTTGGGGGCAGGCTGAACCATGGCACATGTGGCCAGTCCTGCCAACTCCTGGCGCACAGTGGGGCTAGGGTGGTGTGGCAGCCAGACTCTGCCTCCCAGCAGCCACATCTCCTTCCAGCTGCTACTGCTAGTGTTACCGCTGCTGCTGGACCCAGCCCCACTGCCTGTCCACCCCACACCCACAGCTGGGAGCACCGGACGGAGAATCTGTGGCAATTGGTCCAGGACATGTGCAGGCAGGGAGCCTCAACTTGGCAGATGGGATGGGGCTGCAGGCAGGCAGGGGGTGGCATGTGGGAGCAGGACAGGTGGCTGGGGCTGAGATCTTGGGGCAGTGACAGCACAGGGCCTGCTCCCAGATGCTGCTCCCCACCCACCTGCAGCCCCATCCCATCTGCCTGGGAGAGCACACCCTGCCTGTGGGGGTCCTGGGCTGGTCTCTGTGGAGACCCCAAGGCCCAGCGGGCCCCAGGGTGGAGCCACTTAGGAAGTTTTGGTGTGGGGAAGGGGTGGGTGTGTACTGGCTTGGCAAAGCATGGCAGCTGGTGGGGGGTGCTGACCCAGCCCGCAACAGCTCATCAAAACTCCCTAAGTGTCCCTCCAGCCCAAATAATTGCCCACCCCTGGATTAAGGTCACATAGTCAGGATTCTCTCTATAATCCTGAGGAATAAGAATTCATTTAAAAAGAAAGTAATGCTGAGATTCTTACACAATCACATAAATCTAATGGCAGGGCCTTTAAGAAAACCATCAAATTAATGAGGCTCAGTATAATTCTGAGTTGGCAACACTAGCTAAATTAACTTGATTTGCATGTACTTCACACAATCTGATAATATTTTTAAGAACTCAGGCTAAGATCACTTATTCTGTTAATTAGACCTACTTGTATGCTGTGCACTTGAGCTGTTCAGTCCTTAACAATGTTAGAATTTTTCCATATATTTTCTACTTTTATCAGCAGTGGAGCTTTGCTGGCAAATGGCAAAGTTGGAAGATTGAAGGCAGAGAGGATACAAGTAAACATGTTTTAACACCGTGCTGTCCATAGTGCCCTGAGCAGAATTAAGCAACACGAAGAGTAGAACACGGACAGCTTGTATACGCTAACATTCCCACCACTGTGGCCACTGTAGAGCTGCAATGGTGAGATATCACAAAGGGAGTGGAAAAAAGATCTATTGTAAACACAGCCAGATACCCACTGCTCTGTTTTCATGAATCAGTGATTGTAGGAATAATCAACTGATTATTCATTTTGATTCACTTAGCCAATATTTAGTATAAAGCACTCTGACAACCAGTGCCTGCATCAGTGCAAAGCATTTTCCCTGTTTTCTCCCCATCGTATTTATTTTGCCTTTGCTGTGCATACTCTTAGTTTTCCACAATGTCCACTTCATCAGGTGAATGGAAACCCCTGGAGAGTGCAGATAAAGCAAGGCATTAACTGAGCTGTACACTGTTGCTGCTATGCTTTTAACCCAAGCAATAAAAAGATGGTGTTAAATGAGAATAATAAGCAGACTTGTGAACGAGAGCATTTTATTTAAGATCCCATATAAGGCATGATTTAAGATTTTAAAATTACATGCTAACAAACTAATACCGACTCCCATTACTTTGTTACATGAACTGCACAGAACTGCTAAGGTACAACAAGTCACAGACTGCTCTAGTTATCCTTTGCATAACTAATTTGTTTTGGCCCGGTGATGACAGAGCTGCTGTCAGTTGATGCTGTGTACACTTTTACTCTCTCCTAGGTGCTGCAGGTCTCAAAGGCTTCCCATTCTCTCTGGAAGAAACATCTCTGCTTCCTGTCAAACTTCTTGGCTCTATTGTGCCTTCTGCCTGAGGGACACTCCAGTGGTTTCTGCCTCTCCCTTTGTATGTTCACATGTGAGTTGTCTATTTTCCACTGTTCTAGAACAGACACAGAACCAGCTTCATGAGCATCCCTGGTCTTGTGTGGAGGCCTTGAACGATGCTATCTCCTAGTGTTGAGCTACCTGTATTTGTCCACCTCCTGAAATGTTCAGGGTTATGTCATCAAATAATACATCCATAACCCCCCAGTAATTAAACAGCTCTGCTAGCATTTGTAAAGTCACTTTTTAAAACGGGAAAGGCGAGCTGGAGACATGGTCTACATAAGCTGCAGTACAGACAACACTTTGAGCACTTTATAACAAAATATAAGGAAATACCAGATATAAGTAAAATTATGCACAACCCTTTCTCAATAGAACAAGTATTGGTAACAGCAAAACATCCATTTACAGCCACAAATAGAATCAGTAAGATGCATACCTATAGTAGTCTATAATGGTAGCTTAATAGTTTTAGTCTGTTCAGCTGTCTGAATCTGATCCATTGTGGTCTTTAGGGGGTGGGTGGTTTGTTTTTTCCATCTGTGCTGACCCTGTATTTGAAACACTGAATGCCTTATTCTGCTCTATCCCTGTTAATTTAGCTGGAATATTTAGGACTGCTAAAATCCTGAAGTCAGAAAATGAATGCCTTATTTCCCTCTTTGGGCCTGCTTTGCAAGGCTCAGTTCCAGAACAAAGTGCACACTGTGCCCTGCGAACATTATTTCACATTTACTCATGTCCTAGTCAGTCACAACAATCCAGCATTCTTGTAACAGCACTACAGTATAATTTCTTTACCCCTTTCACATAATCACTCTGCTGTACAGGTCCTCTTCAACACTGAGATCAGCAATTTGTGATAGTGGCAGAGGGGCAGCAAGAGGAATTAAAATTAAAAGAGTATGTTTTCTTTTGCTTATGACCCTCAGCACCATCCCATGCTTCCTTGTGTCCCCACATTCTTTATTTTAAAGATTTTAGACAACTAAATCTTTTTGGACTCTTAGAATTTATTGTTGCAATGGCATGAATATATGAAAATGATAGCTTGTTATATACATGTTAAGAAAGTTCTGCATTAAAAAAGTCTCAGATGGTAAACTTAGCAGTTTTTGTTTTGAAAAAGGGGGGCTCCAGTGTGCATATGGCATGTGCTGCCAACACATTACATTGCTGCCCCAGGAGGGGAAGTTTCAGTTTGTTTTTCCACAGATGTAATGTAGTCCCCAGTAAGTAAGCTTTATAATGCAGAGAAGGGTCCAAAAGAACTTTTAGTGAACACACTAACTTGGCTGCTGTTCGTGCCCTTTGCAACTGGTGCAGTCTGTCAGGAAGGCAAAGGTGGTGCCAGTTCAGATCTGGCTTGTGGTTCTGAGTTTAAAGAAATCTTTTGCAGACCATTTCTTCCCCATGTCATCTTCCAACTTGGATCTTTCAGTTCTTCAGAAGCTTAGAAGTCCCTATTTCACTACTGCCATACAGAAAAGAAACGCAAGAAAAATATTAAAAGTCAGAAGCCAGCACCAAGATACCATATTTGTTAGCATGCCATAGTCCTTCCCACCTTGAACAGTTTGGCTTTGTTCTAAATGCCAGTGTAGTGGTTATTCTCTCAACAGCCATCAAGCTAGGGAACCATCCCAGTTTAAAAGCTTTTGTTTTGCTCACCCATCTATCCCAGTGTATGCTTAAACAATGTTCTGAGTTTGATCCAAAACATTAGGCTTTTCATTCAATTCAATCTATTACCCTTCTTTTTGCCCCAGTTCTCAATTCTTTCGTGCAGACTAGCTCAACAAAGAATGCAACCCCTTGATTTATTTTTGCTGCTGTATTTGCTGCTTTCCAGAAGTGGTTTATGGCTTGGCTTAACTGATGCTCAAGTGGTTGAGAGAGTTCTTCCTCCAACTGGTCTTGTCAGAGCTTGGAACGTGCACGTTCTGGAAGAATGCTTTGTATCTGTCCCTGTCTTTTCATTTTGATTTGTTGGTCATGTTTATTTCTAACCTCCCAAACAGATAATACTGCTGTAGACCCCAAACAGTAGCACTAGTTGAAAGGTTGTAGTTGCAGGTATTTGCAACTCTCATAAGTCTCTGGGTCAAATTCATCCATGAAATATAGGTTAGCTTAAGTAATACATCAAATATAAGTAGTCCAGAAAACAGTTGTACAAGGATGTAAATTGTAAGGAAAATCCTCTAAATTGTTTTTCCTTGCATGCTCCATTCTTCCCCCTTGGTGCATAAATTGCACCTTCCTCATTGCCAAATTTGTACAAGGCAAGCTATTTCCAAACATTTTCTGAGTGACTTATACCTGATGTGTCACTTGCATCACCATTTACTGCATAGACATATTGGATATGTACAATATCCCTCCCTAACTTGTTGATCATATGCCAGGAACTCTTGTTAGATTGATGGGTGCCCCAGTATAGCGTTAATTTGACCACTTCACAGAGAGGGACCTCTTGTTTTCTAAAAACAGACGCTGCATTTGAGGCTCCGATTGAGCCGAGTCAAAACCGGGGAGCTACATAGCTCCTTACACATGTTGCTGGTCCCTGGAATGAATGATGGTTAACTCAAATTAGCAGCTCTTGTCCCAGGAAAGTGTTATCTTGGATCACAGGTATTTACAGTGGGCTTTTACATCTGCAGGATCCCAGGATTAAAAACCTTGCCCTGGAAAAATCAGATGTCCATTTTTAGCTTTAGAGAACTAACAATTAGTGAAGAAAGTATTTATCTCTTTCACATTGATTTCAGAACATAATATAATAGATTTTCCCCTCTGAATATTGAGTGCTAAGCTGGTAATTTTTCCATCAGAGATCTTTATTTAAACTACAGACTGCATATGGCTCACACAGCAGCACTGCAAATGTTTTTGCACCTTCCCACAAAAGTACACCAACTGCATTTTGAGTGGACCACCTCTGAGAGTTGGAAAGTGAGTTGAGCCTTTATGCACATTAATGTTTAGTCTTTCTGATGAGACTGCAAAAAGATTGTGAATTAGTGGTGTATGTACTGGACTGTGAACACCAGCTCATTGCACAAGCCATTGAGCATCTGGCATGGATAATAAATGTTAGCCAAAGTATGTTAGCTTGAACTAGAATCAGTTAGCTCGAGATAAATAGTGCTGTCTCCCACTACCAATCTCACAAGGCATCCAGTTACCCTAAAAGCAGATGTTTTAAAAGGAAAGTCCAACCTCAACCAAATCTGATTCTGCAGTCTTCAAACACTAAGGTCTCAACTAAACAAATTTAATCTTTTTAAATCTATTTAAATCAAGTGTGCATGCTTTAAACTAACCACCAGATGGAGCTCGTATAAACTCATAATACTGCATTCTGCAAAAAGTCATAGGCTACATAAGGGGTTATAAAGAGTGCAGTCTTCTGTAACTGCATAAAAACAAGATCATATTTGTGATGTTTTGTTTTGCTTGAAAGCAAAAGGAGGGTCTGGAGACACAAGGATGCCCTCTTGAGTTGGTTCTATTCCATATTCTGCAGCATTAACATCCCCTTACTGTTTTTGCATGTTATTTTGGTCAATAGCAAAACTTGGCCTATACAAATATGTACAAATAATAAGAGTACTTAGAGCTAATTCCTCAAAAGTCTGGAGATCCAGCCAGCCAAGGACAAATTCTAAATGGACACATGCTAAAAGTCAGGAAAAAGGGAAAGACTACTGAGTCTAGAACTCCCCTCTTCAGACCACTACTAGAAACCAAATAGAGATCACGGATTGAGAAAGATCTCTGCTACACGTGGGAAAAAGGTAACCCTACCATAGTCATTGGGGTAGGTTCCTCACAAAAGTCCTTTCTTGAAGTAAGGTGGATTCCATTCACATATAACATGCATTTTTGACATACGATTTGTAGGTTATCCAGGAACCTCTTCGCTTTGTCCACTGCCCCCACGCTGGGGAAGAAAAGCTGGTCAAAGATAGGGAGTTGTGGTGTATGGTCAGTATAGAGAGTCCACTTGTACTTGCTTTGAGGGACTGCTTTGTTTTGATTCTGTGTAGTGAGCAAACATGGTTTGTGGGGTGTAGAAGACCATGGATAACTCTTCCCACTGTAGTATCATTCTGTTTTAAGTTAATGTTTAGTAATTATCATATAAGCATATTCTCAAAAAGAAACTTTGTTAAATGGACTAATTGTTGTTCTCACAATCACAAAAGGGGTAAGAGAGAGAGAACCATAGCATTACATTTTTAAGTTTTCAAAACATTGACTGATTTAACTTGCTGGGGACCAATCTTTTTGGCAGGCAAGGCACAATTTAATCCCACGCCCTCCCTGGGCACATCTACACGTGCAATTAATGCAGAGCAATAAAATCCGGCACTTATTGCGTTAGAGTTTATGGCTCTGGGTACATTGTTTGAACGTGTGCCCAGGACCACAGCATGTTGAGTTGGGTTGGAGCAGACCTGGCTAGCAAGGGGGACTGCTCCAACCCAGCTCAATGTGCTGTAAAAGGGCTGGCTTGGACATGAGGATGCTCCAGCGCAAAGCTAGCTGGTAGGCAGCTCCCGCATTGAAGCACACTTGTGCCCCAGCCAGCCTCGATAGCGTCTACACATGCAGTGCTGTGAAGTAAAAACTCTGCAGTAGGGTAGTACTTGTATTTATAGGTACTACCCTGCTGAGGTTATTAGTTTACTCCAACCTAATAGTCTTGCACATGTAGATGCAGAGATGTTTACTGCGGAGCTAATTAGTCCACTCTACAGTAGGAGTCTCATGTAGATGCACCCCGAATGCCACTCTGATCCCCTTCACCTGCCCAACCAGCCTCTCTGCATTATGCTCCCTGTCCAATCTGCTGCTTTGGTTTTCTGCTCCCTGCCCTATCACAGCTCTTGTCCCATCCATGGTTTGCTGCATGTCACACAGAGTCTGCTCATGCCATTTGTGGTACACATGCAGTAGATTGGCTGCCCCTGATTTAATTGATTCTTTTGTTTGCACTAGTTATTGCTTTATGAAGACCTCTGATACCAAATACAGACTTATCTACTGTGGCAGCAGTAACCATGTCAACACCTGCTAACAATTAAACTCAACTCTTATTAAAAAAGGGGTAGCACTTCCCCAAAGCATCCTGAATCGGTTCCAACCCTATTGTTTAAGGAGTCTACACTGCAACCAGTGAGATGACTGTAGCGTCTAAAGATGCAGCAGCACACCATCAGTGTAGGCTAGCTGCCCAAGTTAGAACTTAGATTGGGCTTGTTTAGCCAGCACAGTTGTTCACCTTGCTAGTAGTACCTAAGCTTGTCTTAAAGCCATCTCAAGTACATCTGCACTTGCTGCAACCATACCTCTGACTGCAGTGCAGACATAGCCTTGGTTGTGTTGCAGACTGATGACACAGCCGTACTGTAAATGGAACATGTGAGAGATGAGTTGGGATTACAGTGATGACTATTGTGGATAAAGTAGGATTTTACACTATACACCTGAAGATTTCTGTCACGTGTTACATTCTGTACCAAATCACGTTAACAGAATGTTACCAGTACTCGTATGTCAGATGTCAGCATTAAGGTTGCCAGAATAACCTTAACTGACCCTTTTTGCAGGTACATTACAATTCACTCCTACACCAGTTCATGTTTTTTCTCAAATAACATAGTAACTCGCACAAGCTCTTCTGTTATTTTAGAAGTAGGGCTACATAAATGTATTTTTCATTTCAGCTGCTGAACTTTGAAAAAAAAAAAAAGTATTTTTGGTTCAGATTGAATCAATTATTTCTTTCCTTGCTGCTCCAAAGAAAGTAAAAAAAAAAAAAAAAGACAACAAGAAAAATTTGGTTTCATTAACACAAATCTCAACATTTGACCAAAAAAAAAAAAGTTTCCAAGCACTAGAAGGAAAAGTAAAAGAAATAAAGGGCTAGATTCACAGAGGAGGAAGTGGTAATGATGTCTGCCTTTTACCCAATACCTCAGGAGTTAGACTGTTCATCCAGGATATGCAGGATGTGGGCTATACCAGTTCAGCTTCCTTATCTGGTCAGGAGGATTTGGATCCATATCTATCACCTTACATGAATTTGACCTAACAGCTAGGCTCTGCAATATTCCTGGTCGGGGTTCTCAATCTCTCTGGCTGTCACTGCTCCACTTTTATTAAGTGCACATTCAGTGGACTAGGAACTGGAACCCCAGATTTGGTGTTAAGGCATTCTCCCGGGAGACGCAGGTTCAAATCCTCTCAGAGGAGAAATTAAACTAGAGTCTCCCACATTCTGGGTCATTGCCTAACCTGTGAGCTTTTGGGTCATACTGAAATGTTACATGACGCTAGCTCCAAATTCTCTCTCTCCTAGATGAAATCATTCAGCAAATTTGAGTCCAACTCATGATTTTGTCACAAAATAGTATTTTTCAGCAAATTCACTGAAGAAATTTCACCCAGCTCTCTTTAGAAGCAAATACGCATGGCTAGAAAGAAAAGCTGTACAGCCTTGTCTGAGGAAAACAGAAGTATTTCATGTTATTTTTCATCCAGCTCTTTCACAGGGTTGGAGACAGTGCATGGGTCTCCCAATCAGTTGTCTGGGGATTTGGAAGCAGAAGTAATTGTGGTAACCACCCCTGAGCTACTGCTGAACCCCTCACCCAAGAAAGGAGAAATGGAAGGTACCCATTGTGTTGCCAACTCTGTTTTATTGTATACTTCTTATATCACTCACTCCCAGATTCATGGGAATGCGTTACAATCTCCACTTTCATTTTCATTCAGCAAGTAAGTTTCTAGTGCCATGATTGCTGCATACAACTTCAAAACATTAAGCAAATGCATCCTAAAGGCTCTGAAACCAGAGGATAAGAGGAGTCAAAATATTTTGAAAGTGTGTTTTTTAAGCTAATATCATGAGGGGGGTTGGAGTTGCACTCGTGATTTTCAGGGGTTGGGTTTGGTAAAACTGTTATTGCAGTGTTCAGTGAAGTAACGCTGAAGGTACTCTGTCACACAGATGAGGAAGGCAGGGTAGATTTGCATCTTATAGACTAACCAAAGTATCTGTCTAGTCTCTACTTATTGCAAAAGCTTTCATGAGCTGAAGCTCACTTCATTAGTTCAGCGTATAAAGAAGTGAGTTTCACAAAAGCTTTTCTTATATATCTGCTTTGGTTAGGCTATAAAGTACAAATCTACCCTGCCTTTCACTTGACTTTAAACTAACATGGCTAACTACCTCTCTCTGCACAAAGATGAAGAGACAGGCAAGGGACTACAAATATCTGTGCCCTGGGGAAGTCTGGGACTGTCCCTCACAAAATTGTCCTTGCCCAAGGTATTCTGTTGTTATTCAACATTTATTCAGGTACAATTCCCACCGATGTCAATAAGAATTTAGCTTAATTAAACCTGAGTACAGGACTTGGCCTTAGAGACCAAAACTTTTTTGAGCAGCTCTGAGGTAGGCTCCCCGCCACAGGAAATGCTAGAAGCGGCATTGTGTCTGTGGTTGTACCTACAGGAAGATTTACTTTTGCTGTAGTTTGTTAAAAGAAATAGCAAAAGATTAGGCTTCTGGTTTTGCCCTTAATGGTCAAAATGAATCAACATTAAAATAAGGCGACAAGAAATCAATCATAGTATAAAGCAAACTAGCTTTTATAGAAGCGTTTACCAACTTTAGGTGTTAAACTTAAGGCACTGAGGTACTGATTTTAGAAGGTGCTTGCACTGACTTCCAGTAAAGTTGAGGTTACAAAGTGCTTTTGCTATGGAGAGCCCTTGTAACTAGGAAGCCCGTGCTGGGCACACCAGATCAAAGAACAATAAAAAAACACTGGTCTTACATAATCAAGGATTGATTTCTCATCCTATAATTCTGTGACGTTTCCCTCAGATATGCTGATTTAAAACTATTTTATATACTTACAGCTCCCGGTATTACTAAAGAACACGCGTGGTAAAAAAACAAACAAACATTGCTGCTGGGAGCACTCTTATTGAAAGTAGGATGCACAATATTATTTCCCCAGTAGTTCAAAAAAATGTTACAAGACATTTGTAGACAAAATCTAACACGAGGAAAGATTCCTCTAATATTTCGTCTCCAAAGCTGGCACCAGTCACCTAATCTTATGAAAAGCAACAAGGGCTATTTGTTTCAGTGCCCAAAATTTTAAGTCATACTGAATCCATTTCTGAATCATACACTCTTTCTCTGTTACAATTTACAAGTTTTTCTTATTTTGGGGGGGAAGAAAAGCTCACAATTAATGCCATAGTAATGACTGTAGACAAGAGCTGTAAAAGACATTTAATTTACAGTTTCTGTTTTCAAAATTTTCTTCAAAACTCCCCTTAAGACTATGATTGCTCAAGTATACCATGTCAAAAAATTACTTTTTCCTTTGACTTTTTATAAAAAGAAATAAATTTTAAGCCACTAAATACAACTTTTAAAAAGCTGAATCTCATCTTCCTAATTTTTAAAAATTAACTATCAAAAACATACTTTAAAAATTCAAAGTAGGCACATGGTTCACCCAGCGTGGCCACATATCTGATGAATTTAAGAACAGATTAGAATTATGGAGGTCAGAAGTACTTTGCTTCTTAATTCTAGATAGATACTTTTGTCTTGTAAAGAATCTAGAATTGTCACTGAGATCCAGGCATCTTGTAACATTAATAGATGTTAATATTATTTCCTCAGCTTTCTCAAAGTATTTATGCTTTGTGCCCGTTGTTACTCCCCCAGAGCTGAAAGGAATTTCTCCATATCGCAAGCTGTGTTTGTCTGTGGGTTTAAGGTGACTGTTGTCTGTCATATTTCAAGAGATCAGAAAAGGACTCCAGACCATCTGAAAGGTGAGTTGAATATAGGAAGCTTTCCAGTTCTTATGCAGGGGGTAGATGATGTGCATTTCTCTCCTCTTTATGTGGAAAGTCATATTGGCTTTTTCAGCTACCAAAATAGTGGGTGTGTAGGGCCTGCATAGAAAGGGCAGTATCACCCTCAGCAGTAAGTAAGGTACTGCAGAAATTTTAGCATCTGCAGGCACATTTACATGTGTGCTTTACTGCACAGGAGACTAATTTACTATGCAGTTAAGGGTAACTGTAACATGAGCAGCAATTGGGTCAGTGTAGACTAATTTACAGCACTGTTTGATAATCCCATCAGACACAGGTACTATTCAACAGCACGGTAAATTACTGTGCTTAAATGCACGTGTAGAGAGTAACGTTGGGATTAGTTTACTTTGGCTCAAATTGTGCCAGAGTTTATTCAGTCACATTAACTGCACATGTAGATGCTCTGCGCGTTCAGTTAGAGCCCTTCAGACAGTTCAGTTTTTTTTTAGTACAGTATTTTTTCAGCTTCCCTTGAAAAGTAAGAAAAACATGTTGATTGCATTTTCTGATTACTTTACTAACTGAACATATTGGATGCATCTACATGTGCCATTAATGTGATATGACAAACTCTGGCGCAGTTTGTGCTAGAATCAGCTGCTTCTAGGTGCAGTGTCTGCACAATGCACCCAGGGCCGCAGCAGTATGAGCTAGGGTGGAGCAGCCCTGGGCTGGCAGCAGGCTCGGTGGGGGTGCAGCCACAGGCTCTGGGTGGCAGCTTCAGGCAACAGAGGGGATGGCTGGGGCATGAGTGTGCCAAAACTGCAGAGCCGTGTGGCTGACACTCCAAGCCTGCTGCTAACCCAAGGCTGCTCTGCCCTGACTTAAACTGCTGCGGTCCTGGACACTGTCCACACGTGTTTCCGCGCAGTAATGACTCTGTTGTAAGCTAGTGTTGGGGACAGTACTATCTTACAGTGGATTTAATTTACCTCATCTTAAGACTGGTGCATGTGTAGACAGTGATGTTTTACTGCAGAGCTAATTAGTCAACTGCAGCAAAGTGCACATGTAGATGAATCCACTAAGTAGAAAAGCCTACTGCTAGTACTAAAAGGGTGAAGTCTATGTGATATTCTGACTCCATCCAAATCTATGATCAACAGTAGCATTCTCCCACAGCCCTGTAATCCATGCATCTTGTTACATATAGCTATGACTGACCCGTGGTTAATTAGGTCTTAAAAGTAACAACTTAGCTGTAAGCAAACTTCAAAAACATTTTAAAAAAATGGGAAATGGCCTGCATGGTCCTCAAAATAAAACTTCACTTATTACATGGAAAAGTTCATTCCAGATTGTTACAAACCCCCTGCTTAGTTTTCAATAAATCCTGAAAGCTGAGAGCACAGAGATGGTTGCCAGTAAAACGTTTTTCGGAGTTGCAGCCCACATCACCACCAGGATGAAGAAAGCATCAGAAAGAACAGCAGGAGACACCTGTGCAGGAATAACAACGCCTTCAAAAATGCAAGGATAGGAGGCTTAGCATCCAGACTGTGCTCACATCTCTTTGGATAAGAGGTTTATTTGTAAAATATTTTTAAACTTGGTAATCTTACATATAGATAGCATCTTTCACCTAAGGATCCACAACAGCTTTACTTGTATGCATCCAAATATATGCTCAAAACATGCATGAAACTCCACTTAGCAGCAAAAGAAAGTACAGAGTAACTATGTTGAGGGGACTAAAATACAGATGCGATAGAGGAGAGTTCTAAATCAAGATTGTCTGATTCTTCTTTGTTCTCTCAAGTAGCATTTATAGGACCTTGTAGGGATTTTAAGTGTTTCAGTAACTCTAATTCTCTGGTTTTTGCTATGTTTTCAATTAGTTGATACTTTTAAACACTACACTAAGGTAGGGGATGGGGGATAAAGCTGAAACAGTGTTTTTGTACTTAGTGTGCCCATATCATTATCTTTTCTGTGGAGCACTCCAGTTCCCATACAGAGCTTTATTTGGTGGTCTGCACACCACAGGCAACCCCCCCTTAGTGCTCTTAATTGGTTCCTGAAAAAACAAGCATTAAGTGGAACCAAAAGTATACGATGACCCAAGATGGCAACCGCAATTGTTTTTAATGACCTAAGCATTAATGGCAACTGCAAGCGTTACAACAAAACTCACTGAGCGCTAAGTGAAATCAGGTGTAAATTTAAAACAAGCGTTATAGCAAAGAAGCGCTAAGCAAAACAGCATTAAGCGGGGATTATCTGTATTGCTTCTCTCCCTTGTACATACCTACCCTCTTTTTTCACTGGAACTACTTTAATCTTCGTTCTTCTCTCCTGCCACCCTGATCAGCCACGCTAGGCCTTTCCTTCAGGTTTCCCATGCCATTTCTTTACCTACATTTATATGCCACAACAATAATATTTCTTTCTACTTCCTCCACAGCCATTTTAGTCCTCCCTGTTTGTTTTTTTTATTGGATTGATTTATTCCTAGGATTCCAATCCCTTTCCCCCCACCCACCAAAGTATACACCATAGGGCATTCCTAAAATATCTTTTTCTATTATGGGCCATCCATGCTAGGTACCCATCAGGTTTACACTCTCAGCAAACACAGGTTTTAAACAAGCAGAGGCTATGACATTTTAAGCAAGGCTCCTGAGTCAGTGTAGAAGGGCCTTAAGTTTTTCTTTTAACCCTCCCTTGTACTCTTAGCTGTCAGGAATCCTCTGTTTTCTTGACCATGTGAAATCCTTAATCTAAATCTTGCTGTTCCACTGCAATCCTCCGAGCACAAAAGTCTGGCTTATACTTAGCACACAATCTGCAATGAGAGTTTGTGCCACAGTGAGTTAATAATTCAGGCCAACAGCTCTCCTAGCCAAGTTGAGTCATGCTCACCCTCTGGTCCCTCAGGAATCTCTGGGACATTTTATCCTTTCCTCCATGCTCTCCCTTTGTATGCCACCTTTGGGATTTTTCCTCTCCACTTCCCACTACCATGCTCTAATTCTGTCTCCATTTCTGTGCTGTTCCAGCCCTTGCCTGGCATGTCCCCATAGCATTCCAAATCTCTCAGCTCACCCTGGGCTACAATACTCGTCTTTCAACTCCCTCTGTACACTCCATTTCCTTTTCAGTTCCCTCGGCTGCTTTCTGATCTCAGTTTGTATTGATATAGTGAGCACTGACCTAAACATCAGGGAGTTTGTATGTAAACTAAATGCTTCATAAGAATTCAGCTGTTACAATTCTTCACTGATCAGCAGTTATTTTCCACATTATTTTAAATTTTGTTTTTGATGAACAAGACATATAGTTCTTTCAGCCACCTCCTTACATTTGATTGCCTACACAAAGAGATCATTTAAACCAGCCACCCTGGACTATTGTGTATTAAGCTTTGACTCAGTTCACCTTTAGAAAGGAGGCATGAAATAACAGAAACATGAGTACACAGCAATGTTAGCGGTGCTCTTCAGCCCCGCTGCCATTTAGGACCCAGATGACTTCAGTGGTGTAAGAGGAACGCAGGACTGAGTTGACACTGTGAAATGCTAAAGCCCTAACTTGCAATGGGATCTGCGTGCTCCAATTGCAGGTCCAGGGCTGAAGTATGATTGGGCACAATATGAGTTTTTCCTTCAGTTGCTCTGGTGTGAAAAAAAATACACATGGTAAATTTGTTTACCAGCCTAAAAAGTTATGAAGTTCTCTTAAAGCTGAATATCCAAAAAGAAATTCAGTATGTCTGAAAACACTCATTTCACTTAAATAGCTCTCACATAATGTTTAGGTTATATGCTGAACTTTATCTATTTATTCATATTCCCTGACATTAAAACAGCCCTGAAAGTTACACTCTGGGTAAAGCACTGGGCAGGGATTTGAAAGGCTTGGACCGCACTAGAGTCAGAGAGTATTTCGTAGTAAGACAATTCTGAAAGCGAGTAAAGAACATCTTTGTAATTATTAAGGAAATTCAGCAGTCCTTGTAGCAGAATTCAGCATTCAGATACCTCTGCTGTGAGCAAGTTATAAATATCTAGGGAGAAAAACTGAAGGAAAGTAGCAACACTGGAGTGGAAATGCCCATTTCAATTCTGCTAGAACTTCATGCCTGGGAATGGCTGTTCATATGGAAATTCCTTGGGTCTATCTACACAGTATTAAATTTCTCTCCCTTTGCTCCCCCAACCTGACTGGTTCGAATTCTGACAGAGGTTCAGAGAACCACCAGCACTGCGCTTACAGCTGAGTCACAGAACAAAGTTTTTCCTGGCATCAAATTTCTTTTTTTTAAAGTTAATTTTGAGATTAGGGATGATTATGCCACCTCCATGTTAATCGCTACTTGATCTAAAATGTCACATGAAGAAACAACACGTAGAAATATTAAAGCACTCATCTTATTGACATGGAACTGAGAACTGTTTAATAGAAGTCAGTGAAGGGATAACATTGTGCTTTTAATCTACAGTTTAAAAATAATGATTTGTATCATATCTACTTAGTAAAACAATAAAATTAAAAACAGAAACTATTAGGAAACAGTGAAAATGTAATAATTAAACACTTGATGTTTTTAAAAGCTATATAACTGAATGACCCTAAACAAAGACACCTATGATTAAAAGGGTCTTTAAAAAGAGATGTGTTTTCAACAACTCGTTCAGTTTTGACTAATATATTGTATGCCTCACTTTGGTGTTTTCTCTGCTGTCAATTTAATGCTATACAGTATATTTACACTTATGTTCTTTTCAAATGCTTGGCATTATAGTGAGATCTCATATCTTTTCTCAAATTAAATTTGGCTCCACACACTCCACATGTATACAGATGAACATCCATGTGCTGCTCCAGTTGTTCATTATTTGGGAATATCTGAAAGCAGACCTGGCATATAGTCTCTCCAGCTGATAAATGAGATATCATATGCCGTACATGGTCATGTTTTCTGAAGTTTCCTTGATCACAAATGGAACAGACATACCTGGCCATGCCTTTGTGCATATCATTGTGGAGCCGCAACTGGCGTTCTCTTAAAAACTGCTTTCCACATGTCTGACAAACAAACTGTTTTTCCTTGGTATGAACAGTATAGTGTTCCCGCAAGTGACAACGCTGATAAAATCCTTTCCCACAGAGATTACAGAAATGTTTTCGTCTGTGATCTCTTTCATTCTCTTCCATAATGGCATTCTTAAACAGATCTTGGTCCAGGCAGTTTGACATATGTTCAACCACTAGATTTTCAGTTTCAAAACGCTGACCACAATTAGGACATCGGAAAGGACAGGCAGAATGCTTATATAACTGCTTTTTGGGAAGACTGTTCATTTGGAAATGACTGTCCCTGAAGTCCTCCAACATCTCTGCAAACATCATGTCCCTGATTTCGGACTGTTCCTCAGGGTTCTCTTCTAAATCCATTTTTTCCTCAGAGTTTCTTATCCCGTTCATGGTCAGATCCTGAGGCTCTCCACATGTCTGCGCATGATCCTGCAACTGTTTACCTTTGACCAGTATTTGACCACATTTGCCACAAGCACAGATATTTTCTATGTGCTTCGACAAGTAATGAGAGGACAGGTCTTCCTCTGTAATTGTAAGCCCACACAGTTCACAGGGGCCATTCTCTGTATCTTCCTGTACTGGGGAGATCTTCCTGCTAAGGTGCCTTGCACTCTTTAAATACTTTCTTTCCTCCTCATTCATTAATAACCGGGGTTTTAAAGTTTTTCGAGCTCTTCTCTTTTCACTGACCTCTTCCTCATAGTATCTGTAAAGTGGCTCTTCCGGTTCATCATCTAGTTCATCATTGTCAGTAGATTCGTTACAGTCTTTATCTGTCACTTTAATAACATTAAACTCTTTCATTTCATCCACAGGGCTGTCCTCTGGTTCCATCTTGATCATAATTCGCTTCCTCTCTGCAGCTCTGCTTCCCTCTTCACCTGACGTCTCAGATGCAACTGTGCTGCTTTTTCTGCTTGTAACATTTGACACTGGAGACAAAGACCCATCGGCTGCTTGGCTCAGATCCCCTTTGCACTTGTCTATTTGTGCAGATAGGTTTTTGGAAGTACAGTCTTTTTCGCTGAAGTCCATTTTTTCAATGCCATAGTACTTGGCGTTTTGGTATGGGTGCCTGTTCGTGCACGTCAACACATGCTCATCCAGTAACTTTTCACAGCTAAAACTAAACCCACAGCTGTCACAGGTGAAGCTTCTTCCAAAGCGTCGTGAATGTGACACACGCTCTTTTGTGCTGGAGAATTTGGACACAGTGCTTTTTTTGCACGCATCAAACAGTTGTTCAGGGAAACTGTTGAGCTGCAAAGCTTCTTCATCAGGCTCTTTGTGATGTGATGTGTTTACTGTTGAACTTGGCGGCTCTGTGCACCACCTGTTTGCTTCGCTACCATTTCTAGCAAGGGTGTCTTCATACATTCGTACGCCAAATATCATTTTGCTATTTTGGGTGCTAGAAGCAGAAGATGAACATTTTAAACTAGAGGAGTCTGTGTCTTGTATATCTTCTAAACATTCAGGGACATTGTATAGCTGTAAATAGTTCATCGCCACTTTAAATTGCTCAAAATTGGCAGGGGCAGTCAAAATTTTTCCTAAATACATGAACTGCAGAATAAGATCAAAACATTCAGCACTAATCTTCATGTTGCTGAGATTCAGCTGGGCTGTAGTGTGTTGCTGGTTCATAAAAAACATCCTAAAATATGAGCTACAGGCAGCCAAGACTGCTTTATGTGCTTGAAAATAAATATCATCGATAGCAATGCAGCAGTCACAGAGAAAACCCCACTCTCTTTGGTTGTTTAGCTGCTGAAGAACATAGTTGCTGTGGCTGGTTCTTGCCATCTTGTCCTTCAGTTACAGTCCTGTGTAAAGAAAGAAATACTTGGTTATATGATCAGCACAGAATGCAAGCTCACAGTAAAAGAGGCCAGTTTCAAGAATTACAGCCTTGGTCCAAACATTTTTTACAACCTAATTGAAAAGGTCTACCTAATGCTAAAAGCCTCTTGAAGAAAACAGGAATAATGGAAGTATCTGCTATTTATACCTCCCTTACAACTAGACCCATAGTACCAGTAGATGGATAAACTTTACCAATGCAACTGTATCGATCTCAATAATACTGGTGTCAAAACACAAGTCAATTACAAAAACCCATAGCTGAAATTTTTAGAAACAATTCATGACTGACGCACAGCTTTAAACACTTTAAAGAGGCCTGATTTTCAGAAAGGCTGGGCATCCGATTTCAAAAAATCAGATCTTTTAGAGAGTCTCAAACTGGACACCTGCCACGGGATAAGCTGGCTCTTAAAGGAGCCTGGCTCCAGTCTCACCTGTGACTAATCTCTTGCATCATCAAGAGGTCATGCGACTAGGAACCAAACCTGCTGGGAAATACAAGGAGAGCTTGAATTCACGGAGCTTGCTCAGAAAAAGAGCAAGTTGGTGCTAAACCTCCAGAATGTCTAGAAGTGAGACCAGATAAATAAAAAAAAGTATTTGGGTGGAAGAATTGTGAAGTTCTACAAGCCCAAAGATTGGGCTACAGGGGAAAAGCAGCCCCAATAAAGGGCTAAAAAACTTTTTAAGCCTTGAATTTATGGATGCCCAAGCTTGTGATAAAACAAAAGACTTAAGCGGACCTGGGAAAGAGAGCTGGAAGCTTTATTTTATGACAACAAGCTATAGCCAGAAGGGAGGCAGTACTATGAAAGTGGCAGGGGTGATGGTGCTGCTACACCTGAAACTAGTCATTTCTGCAAACCTTGACACCATATCTCACTTATCTGTGGAGGCTGCAGATGAGAAATGTGGGGAAAAGTGAAGGGAGGACAAAATTTCCCAATGGAAGAAGAAAATATAAACTAGGCATGAGATTCTATAGCTTCTGAAATGTTATTGCAAATAGTGGAAGTACATGGAAGGTATACAGAGAAGGGCTACCAAAATGATCAGCAGTTGCCATACCAAGAGAAATAAAAAAGGCTAGGACTCTTCAATATGGAACAGAGAAGGCTGAGGGGGTGATGTGATAGAGATCTATAAAATCATGAAGGGTGTGGACCAAATGAACAGGGAACTGTTATTCACCAAGTCCCAGAATACTAGAACTAGAGGACACCAACTGAAATTAGGAGACAGGTTTAAAACTAACAAGAGAAAGTACTTTTTTATGCAGTTTCCCAGGAAGTGGTAGACTAGGCAGATAGCATTACCAGGTTAAAAAAGGGACTAGACCAGGGGTTGGCAACATTTGGCCCGCTGAGCTGCTGGCTCCAGTCTACAGAGCTGAAGGGCTTTGTTTGTGCCCATACTGCCATGGCTTCTGTAAGCCCTCACTCCTACTTTCTGACTCCATGTGGGCTCAGGTAGGGGACTGTGCCCAGGCGGGGGAACTGCATTTGCATTGCTGCTGCTTCTCTCCACTTCCCCTTGCCTGTCCCACCCCACCTACCAGCTGCAGTGTAGGGACAGCTGAAAGCTGCAGAGACCTGGTGTAACTCCCCAGGGACTTGACGCTGCATCAGTGCTGCAGCCAGGGGGCAGAAAGAAGTGGCAGTGGTGCATGTAAAGCTGGAAGCTGCTCAGCTCCAAAATAGCTCCTCTGCCTGCACCTGCACTGAAGACCTGTCAGAGCTGTGAAGCTCCTGGCAGCATCTACACTACAGCTGGGAGGTGGGGAGGAATGGAGACAAGCTGTGGCAGCAAGAACATAGTTTGCAGCTTCTCTGCCCTGATGCAGCCCCTCACTGGCTGGAGGCTGGGCCTGAATGCAGCCTGTTCATGCATGTTAACCCATGCTCATCCAGTAACTTTTTACAGCTTTCATAAATGGGGGGACACAGGGCAGGGAAGGGCAGGAGCCTGGGAGAAGTGGTGGCAGCAGTGCGGGTGCAGCTCCCAGTTGTCTGCCTTGGTGCAGGGAAAGCCAGTCACTGACATGGCACCAAAGCCACCTGGGCCTGCGTCGCATCACAGTTGCATTGGTCTGGCCCATGGCTTATTAAAAATTTCCAACCACTGAGCTAAACAGATTCATAGAATCACAGACGAGTAGGGCTGGAAGGGACCTCCAGAGATCTAGTCCAGGGGTGCTCAACCTCCAGTCCACAGGCCAAATGCAACGCGGAGAGCCGTGGCATCTGGTCTGCTGCAGGGCTCCCCATGGGACAGGACATTTGGTCGCAAGGGAACAGTTGTAGGTAATACTGCCACCCTCCCCTGCTACCAGATTCCCGAGCACCGTGAGGCCCGACTGGGGCAGGCCACACTCCCCGTCCCTTCCCCAACACCCTGGTCTATATATACAATGGGTCTGACCCAGTGTGGCAAAAAAAAAGCACAGTTTACAAACAATTTATAATACTAACACTGCATTAGAAGGTACCTGTGAAATGCCCAGGCTGATTTGTGACTGGGATATTTTCCCCCTCACTCTTTCTGTTGTCATCCTTTCCATATACAGTACTTCCCTTTCTTTCCTTTACCCATTTTCTTCCTTCTAACATGGATGGAGGTCAATATATGGGCAGGCCAAACAACACTTTTTTTTCCCCCCCCACACAGGTTGCCTCAGTGATGATGATGCCTGCATTATATAGTGGGCACAGGAATAACTATTATTCTCCCTTTCCTTGAGCTGTCAGAGGGCTGGAAGCACCATGGAAACAGTATGCCCAGTCCCTAGAGAAAAAGCAAATATCTCTGACTGCCCAAATATATCCACTGCTGTCAACGAAACAGCAGTATTTATGGCTCACTAACAGAAATGAGGCTTTGGCTGGAAGTTGGTTGTCTGCAAGAAGGGCCTGTGAGCTTTGGTTGGGCTGAAGAAAGAGAGTCCTCTGAGCCTATGAAGGAAAAGGAAGACTTCCCTCTCCAAACAAAGAGCTCTTTATGACATGAATCCCCTCTCAGAGTTGTGAGGTGAGGTGACACCAACCACAGAACTACTTTTCCATTGCATGTAACAAGACAAAGCGTTCTCACAGTCGCTAGTACGCTGCCACTTTAGGAACAGCAGAGTCAATTCTTTAATTTCCCCAAAGGAGTCCATTACTTTCTTGGATGGCGACATCATTCTAAATGACAACAGAAAGATTTCTAAGTATCTGAATAACTTTGGATGGTTTTGAAAACAAAAGAACTCTAGAATTAAAAAGTTGCCATAAAATACATTTCACAGGTCTCTGTTAATGAGGCACTTGACCTAACTGCTCAGGCCTGTGTGATAGCATGCTGACTTACTATTTAACCCCTAAGAATAGCTACTGAATGTTAGCTAATAATTTCAGTTCAATCAACACAGTCTGCATTTAAAAAAAAAGCAAAAACAGTGGGAAGATAAGTCCAAAACCAATATTGACCTCTTACGTGTGATAAGGCATGAGGACTGCTATGAACTATCAGTTAGAAATTTCTGTCCATTTAGAACTAAATCATCATAACTGGAATTCTTTTTATCTTTGCAAAATGGCAAATTTAAACATTTCAGAAAAAAATGTTCCCAAGCTTACTTTTCTGGGGGCATTTTGTTAAGTTTACCAACTGAAAAGCACGTCTGTAACAGGATCACCCCATGACAAATAGATGATAGTGCATTTCTTGCCTGTAGAAATCTGTGAAAATATCCCTGTTCATTTCAACAGGCACTGGAGTATGGTGGGAAAAATGCACTTTAAGTTTCTTGCCTCTTTGGAAGCTGTGGGAAGCTGTTTCTTTTGAAAGGGAAATGTTGGGAAATATGATAGTCAACTTGCACAATTTTCCAGCACTTGAGGAAGACAGGCTAGCATCTCTCCTGAAACCTCCAGAATGAACTGTGCCAGCTGTGTATGGCATGAACATCAGTAAAATACTAAGACATTTTGGTCCTTTCTGCTATTGTACTTGAATTGTTTAAATATCAAGACACAGGAAACGCTCACATTTACTTCTTCTGGGCAAATTACTACTGACACCTGCTTTACTAAATTCAAGCCCATTTCTTAAAACACACCTTTTCCTCCAGGCTCAAAATTAACCTACCATTTTGACTGGATATTCAAAAACAACACTGCCTGAATATTGGGTGTTCAGGGCAAGTATAGTTGTCAACACTTCCTCTGATAAGGTCCTATTTTCAGCTGCTTATATTTTCACAAACTTTAACCATTTGAGCTGAAACTGTCCCATGCAGACTGTCTGCTGCAGGGTGAATATTTCCAGAAAATTTCAGCCAAAATGTTTTAACTATTTCCAAGAACAAGGCTAAGGAAGAAAACACTGTTTTGTTGACATTGGAAAAAACCCTTCCCTTTTCTCTTCAAGCTGCAGTCCCCCTACACTTCCGACACTGACTTTAAATGTAGCAAGCAGGTGGCATTTGTGGCAGGGTGTGCCCCTTTATCATGAAAACGCTGCCCAAATTTGGTCATTATGGATCTCTGAAAAATCCTTTGGCACATGCTCAGTAGAGATATCTTAAATATTTAACCACCAGAATCTCAGATGATACTCTCACTGAGCATGTTCCATCCTTCTAGGATTTCTATGCAAGCAGGCTGTACCTATGCCATCTACAGGCACACTTCATCTGCTCACAGCCCTGACGTGTACCAGCTCCTCATGGCAACTGGGAGGGCTCCAGCCGGAGCTGCAGGGTCCCACTAGGAACTCCCCTCCAACAGACACACTGGGCTTAGTACCGTCACTCAACTCAAGGAGCTTGCATCTCCTCTACGTCCAGCATTTAAGCTCCAGTAACTGAACGATTATGACATTCACCCAGGAAGCAAGACACTGGGGTCCTAGGTCCCCCCTCGCCCAGAATGGCTTTGAACCTGCATCACTGACTGCCCAACAGCACTCAAACCACCTCGCCACAGGTTAGGCCGGGGCGGGAAATTTTTTTGGCGGGCAGGCGCTTAATGAGTTTTGATAAGGCATCAAGGGCTGCCTGGGTAGCCCTGCCCCTTGACAGGAGCCCCGCCCCCTAGTTGCCATCTTGGCACTGGAAGTCCCACCTCCTAGCCCTTGATCTTTGCCACTAGAAGTCTCTCCTGTTGCCCAGGAAGTCCTTTTGGGAGGGGGGTTGCTTATATATTTTGTATGGAGGGGTGTACACGTGGGCATGAGAGGTGTGTGGGGTGTGTGTGGGTGTGGTTGTGGTGTGGGGCATGTGGGGGTAGGGTGGGGTGTATGTGTGTGGAGTGTATATGTGGATGTGTGTGGAGGTGTGGGATATGTGGTTGGGGTGTGGGTGTGTGTGGGACTTGGATGTGCGTGTGCTGGGATGTGTGTGTGGGGAGGTGTAGGTGTATGGGTGTGGGGTGTGGGTGTGTGTAGGGGCTGTGTGAGTGGTTGAGGTATGGGGTGGAGGGCAGTATGGTGCAGGGAGCTGAGCCTGGCATCACTGGCTCTCTTGGTTTCTGTCCCACACCTGCCCAGTGGGGTGCAGTGCATCCAGCACTGGCTTCTGCTGCTTCTCTCTCCTGTGCCTGCCTGGCAGGGCTGCATCAACTGCACCCTGGCTCCTACTGCTGCTCCCCACCTCCTGTCCTGTTCCTGCCCGGTGGGACTTTGTGAGCAGCCAAATTCCTTCACAGCCCCCCCCCCCGCAACTACATCCACATGCTCCCCTGCCCAGCACAAGCAGAACCAGAGTGAGCTGCAGGCAGAGCCCAACCCGCTCCCCTCAATGCCACAGCTTCCCCTCCCTACCTGCTGCCAGGATTGCTGCAGCAGGGACACGAAGAGTTGCTGGAGGCTGGGGGAGTCCAGCAGTTCCCTGGGAAGCAGCAGCAGCCCTGCTCAGAAGCTGTGCCTGCTGGCAGGGCTGGTGCCCTCCAGCAGGAGAGGTTGGGAGTGCAACATGTTCTGCCCCTGGCAGGACTCGGCCCCATGCAGAGTGCAGCAGGAACAGCCACCGCTTGGGCCGGATACAATTAATTGGTGGCTGCCTGCCTGCAGGCTGGATCCAATCAGCTGGTGGGCTGGATTTGGCCCGCAGGGTGTATTCTGCCCAC